CAGCGGGACAACAAGAGCTTTCCTATAGAGAAGCAAGTTGCGCAGAGGATGTCTCCATTTGGAAGCCGTGTCAAACTAGGCTAGCTTGTACCTATCCTCAGTTTCCCCGTCTGTAAGATGGTGCCCCCCAGCTGTGCTGCCATGCAGAATTAAAGCTCAGTCTGCTTAGCCTGCTGTCTTGCCTGGAGCAGACAACTTCCAAAGGGTCAGTTTTCTGCTCTTTTTTTTTCGGGAGGGGGAGCGAGAATTGAGGCAAATGATCTGCCGATTTCCCAGTAAGGCTTGACTCCTTGGCAGAAAAGTTGAAAAGGAGAATGAGGGACAGTCACGGGTTTGGGGACAGAAGAAGCCAGGTGGATTTCCACGTTGGGAAGATCACTACAGAGATTCCAAGCTCAGTGAGGGAAGGGGTGGTCTGAGCTCAGCTCGGTATCTGATTGGCTCCTTTCCCCACGGTGTGGCCATCCAGCCTTGCTTCCCAAAGTGGCCCTTCCAGTTTGCGTTCTTAGAGAGACAAGCAGAATGAGAGGGCTGGCCCTCAAGCCTGAAGGGCTGGTGTAGCCATCCTGAACTGCAACACAGGGTACTAGATTACATGGCATGGCATTTGTATAGAGGCCAGAGAGGACCTTGAGTGGCAGTCCCCTTCCACCTTCTTTGTGAGGGTTGCACATCACGGTATTTAGCTCAGACTAGCTGCCCTTTGGCCTTCTGGGCTTCTCTTGTTTTTTTAGCACCCTTCTCATCACTGGCATTCTGGGAATACAGAAACATACGATGTCTTTGGCTCTGTGTGGGTTCGAGGGATCTGAATTCCTGTCTTCACAAGTGGATAGCAGAAGCTTTATGCATTGAGCTATTTCTCCAGTTGAGGGGTACGGTTTCAGAAATTCTGGAGATAATTCCTTCCACAGGGATGGAATATCAGGTGTGTAGTGCCTCAGGACAACTGAAAAACTATTGTCCTTTTTTTGTTTGCTTGATTTTTGTTTTTTGAGATAGGGTTTCTCTGTGTAGGTAGCCCTAGCTGTCCTGGAACTCCATCTGTAGACCAGACTGGCCTCAATTTGAGAGATCTGTCTGCCTCTGCCTCCAAAGTGCTGGGATAAAAGGTGTGTGCCACCCCTGTGGCACTATGGTCTTTCTTAAAGAAATCTACCTATCTATCTATCTATCTATCGATCTATCGATCTATCGATCTATCGATCTATCGGTTTTTCGAGACAAGGTTTCTCTGTGTTAACAGGCCTGGCTGTCCTGGAACTCACTTTGTAGACCAAGCTGGTCTTGAACTCACTGAGATCCACCTGTCTCTTCCTCCCAAGTGCTGGGATTAAAGGCATGCACCACCACTGCCCAGCTTGAAGGAACTTTCTTATGCACATAAATTCAGACAAAGGCACATAAATTTAAACATTTTTTTTTTTTAAAGAAAGAAACTCTTGCCGATGAGTCATGACTTTGCTCTGGGTTGCTGCACTCCCCTGCACAGGTGCAGAATTACTTGAAAATTACTCCTCTGTCCACTAGAGGGAAACCCAGGCTAGAGAGACGGCGAAATCCAGCCAGCAGGAGGCTGATAAAGCCAGAGAGACCACAGCTGCCTAGCTGAGTGATGATACAAGCCCAGTGCTGTGTGGGAGCTGGCTTGTATCAGCTTGACTAGAACCACTTGTTGCATTTTCTGAGCTCATGGGAGCTGGTTGTTAAATACAGTCATTAAAAATTAAGCCATTCAAACTTATACTTAAATCAACTCTATTAAAAATGACTGCAGCGGGCACGGTAGCACACGCCTGTAATCTCAGCATCTGGGAGGTAAAGTTCAGGGTCCTTCTTGGCATGAAGTGAGTTCAAGACCAGCCTAAACCACTTGACACCCTGTCTCAAAATAAATAATATAATGACTCTAAACATAAATTTTTAATTTTTATTCTATTTAACTGGTACCACCTCTCTGTTTTGCATGGAGTCTTACAGAGTAGTATGCTACTGTCTGTCTTCAAAACTGGTAACTTGAAACTGGCCATGGAAGACTATTTACTGCATGCAAACTCACACAAGCTACAAACCAGGGTTTCCCATTTCTGATTCCCCTCCTCCATAAGTTGATCTAAATGCCTGCTTAAGTCTTTCTCACACCAGCCACTGTCCTGAGGGGCTGGGCTTTTCTAGGTCTGCAGAGACACACTCACAGATATCCCTGGGAAGGGATTGGTCCATTTCATCAGGCCAGGCTGTTGGGAGCCCCTTGAATGAGTCACAGTTGTGCTATTATTGTCCAAGCATGGCTTGAAGGTGCTAGCCTCAGGCTCAGGGTCTGCCGCCTGCTCCAGAGACCTGTTCCGGTTCAGCCCTGCCTTTCTGCTTGTCTCGCAGCCATCTCCTGGGATGGAACATGCTTTCCCATCAGAAGGGGAGCTTCCTGAGGACCAGGGTTGGCTTCCACCTTCATCTATGCCTCCAAGATGGCCTCAGAACACAGCAGTGCTGGGAGCATGCCTTTAATCCCAGGGAAGAAGAGGCAGGCAGATCTCTGAGTTTGAGGCCAGCCTACGGAGTGAGTTCCAGGATAGTCAGGGCTACACACAGAGATCCTGTCTTGAAAAACTAAAAACCAAACCAAATCAAACCAACCAACCAACCAAACAAACAAACAGAAAACCCCACACAGCATACAAGGAGACGGTGAAGTGGTAGAGTTAAGCTGTGGCACCTGTTAGCAGTATGACCAGAGAAAGGTACTTTAACCAACAGATCTGGTCTTTTGCCACTTGGAAAAACAAGGTGAATACTTCTTTCTTTCTTTCTTTCACTCTTTTTTTGTAAGTGCCTTTCAATAGTAAAAGGCAGCATCCTTTGACTTAGGGAATTCTAATTAAAATAGCATCGAGTCAAGAATAGACATCTGCTTCCTGACATTTAGACATTGCCTGCTACAGACCAGGGAGTACACACTGAAACACAGACCAGTCTTCTCGTTTCTGAGACGGTGACAGAAACACTCCTAGCCATTCGTGATCTGAATTTTGGTGTCTGAATTAAATTATGGTACACATTAAAAAATCATGAGACATAAATTACTCCTTAATAGCCTTTTTAAGATAAACTGTTAGGTCTGCCCTCTCTCCCTTCTTTTTAAGTCCAGAGATCATTCATTCCTGTTCCAGGGATGTACCTTTTGGGATTCTCCAAACACTCCATCAGGTATCCTCTCGCTAGGTGATGCCTTTGTTCTTGTTGGCATCTGTGTGCGAGAATCCAGCTGCCTGACCTGTCTTCCTCCCAAACAGAACATGGAGGTTTGGTCCAGTCTTATGCTTGCCTCCTTCGTCCACCATGTGGCCCTGGGCACACTTCTGAGCAAAAATCCTCTTGCCTTTCTCAACATCATCCGTTTTTTATTTGCTCCTGGGTGGTGATCAACGCCATAATCATTGTGACCCAGAGATTGATGTCCTGCTCTCTGAACACTTCTTTAAAAAAAAAAAATCACGAGTGTGTGTGTGTGTATGTGTCTGTGTGCGCGTGTCTGTGTGTGTATGTGAGTCTGTGTGTGTGTGAGTCTGTGTGTGTGTGTGAGTCTGTGTGTGTGTGTGAGTCTGTGTGTGTGTGAGTCTGTGTGTGTGTGTCTGTGTGTGTGAGTCTGTGTGTGTGTGAGTCTGTGTTGTGTGAGTCTGTGTGTGTATGAGTCTCTGTGTGTAAGTCTGTGTGTGTGAGTCTGTGTGTGTGTGAGTCTGTGTGTGTGTGTGAGTCTGTGTGTGTGTGAGTCTGTGTGTGTGTGAGTCTGTGTGTGTGTGAGTCTGTGTGTGTGTGTAAGTCTGTGTGTGTGTGAGTCTGTGTGTGTGAGTCTGTGTGTGTGAGTCTGTGTGTGTGTGAGTCTGTGTGTGTGTGTGAGTCTGTGTGTGTGTCTGTGAGTGTGTGTGTCTGTCTGTGTGTGACTTGTGGGAGTCCCCTGACACGTGGGATCCTTGGATTGAACTTAATCAACAGACTTGGAGACAGGCACCCTTTCCTGTTGAGTCACTCCCCAACCCAGGTAAATCCTTGTGTATCATCAGGTCTGACTTCCACTTAGACACAATGAGTTCATCCAAGCAAAGCTCTCAGCCGGCTGTTTCCATACCCAACAAGGTGCCCCGTGATGTAAAAGGTGCTAAGTTAAAGGGACACACCTCACTACCCTGACATTGTGTGTCAAGGAAGGAAGTAGGGAAGTGGTAGAGCAAAAGACAAGGAATTAACACGTTCAGCAGTGAGTATGTTAGAGTGTCACACAGCCGGGAAAATGTACCCTCGTCTGGACATGAGCTCTCTGAGCCAAGACACTGCCACGTGCTCCATGCCTGATAAGGGGCACCTCTTCCCTATGGCCATGTCCTCCACCTTTGCCTGGGTCTCTGGGGCTGGGATGCAGGCAGCCGGATGTGGCAGGCCCAAGGCTGCTCTGCAGGAAGCAGCAGCTGGGACAGTCCTGAGCCTCAAAGTAACGGAAGGGAGGGAGCAGCCAGCACCTGCATTGTGCGAGGCCCGCTCCCCGCTGAGCCACCAGGACCCCCTAAGCACATTCTTGGCGGGAGTTCCCTGCTCAGGGTTCTCAAGCAGAAAAAGACCGAACCAGAAGAGGATTGCTACTCTTTCACTCCCCAAGGAGTTCGCTTATTCTTCCACCCGTCAATCACTGAACAGAGGCACTAGTAAACGCAAAACAGCCCATAATCCCATAAGCCTTTGGTTCTTCGAAATTGGAGGTGGTCTCCGCGGAGTAGACTGGAATCATGGCTTCTCTACCAACCTAGCGTGCAACTGACAAATAAACTCTGAGCTGCTCCAAGACATTTCTCTGCCTTGGAGGGAAAGTGTGGAGGGAGCTCCATTGCTCTAGAGAGTGCTGGAATCGGTGAATCCGGTGCACAGCACATCCGCTGCCGCCAGCAGGCAAGGGAAGGATCTTCAACACTAATTTTTATTTTTATTATGACAGAAGATCATTGGTGGGAGAGCCTAAAGCTGCACAATGCTTTTAAAAAACCTTTCAAATTGATATGCAACATTTAAAAGTTGTGAAATTTCAACTCAGAGTTTTGGGTCTTTTGAAAAAAAAATGGACAAATGTGGAAGGCTGTGTTTTATAAGCTGTTGGGTTATCCTAGAGGCAGCTCTCTCTCTCTCTCTCATATTGTATTTTCGAGTGTCCTCTTGCAAAATGATGTTAATTGTCATATAAGTTTAAAGAAAACCTCTTGGGCAATTCCCTGTTGCAAGGATCTGAAAGATAAATTTATTTTGAAACACTGGTTTGTTTGTTTGTTTCGTTTTGTTTTGTTTTTTGGTTGGGATCCTTGAATGGTTGACCTTTCTCAAAAATGGCTTTCTGGGACAATCTTGTAATAAAAGAATTTTAAAATATGTCATAGTGGGGCAGCGTGTGTACCCATGGGAGTCCCCAAACCAAGGAAAAGATCCGAGTTGGCACAACTGGCCCTGAGGCCAGGAGTCTGTAACAGGGGAGATGTAGCCATCTCACATGGGGAGAGTGGAGAGGACAGCTGACAGACAACTGCTTAAAAAATAGGACTGACAGAACACGGAGCTGGGAAGAGGCGAGACTGATGTTTGTGTCTCTGGTTTGGGAGAATGGGCAAGAGGTTGTCGCATTCACTGTTTTGAGGGTCTAGAGAAGGGTCTACCTTGTAGCCTGAGAGAGTCAGAGGGGCAGAGAATCTGGGTCAGTAACACAGAAAGTGATGTGCCAATAGACCTCCAGTGGCCAGGAGAGGGAGCTGGGTTTAAGAGTCATTGTTGGGCCAGGTTGTGGTGGCCCATACCTTTAATCCCAGCACAGAGGTAGGCCCAGGCAGAGGCAGGGGGATCTCTGTGAGTTTGAGGCCAGTCTGGTCTACAGAGTGAGGGCTACCACCAGCCCCAGGATTGTGTGTAGAGTCAGGTAGGACCAGCCATGAGAATCCATTTGTAGTTAAGAAAGTATATTGAAGAGAATTGGGAAGATGTCAAAGGAGGAGAGGCATCGGAAATATCTCCATCCTGCAGAAATGGGCTGCTCCCGGTATCTCACTGCAGAGGTGGACTGTGGAGTAGGCCAAGGGGACTTTGATTGGGTCCTGCTGTGGTCAGACAAAGGATGAGGTGGGGCAAGGTTCCAGGCAAGTTCATGACCTCTGAGTGCTCTTCCAGCCATCCAGGGCCACTTGACGGGCTGAGGGACCCTGCTGGGAAGAGTGGGAAGGACCCACCTGGCTGGAGTGTGAGCAAATAGGATTCCAGGACATTCTTCTCAGCCAGAAGTGATAGGGCTGCCATGCCAGCTCCTCAGACTGTTCGTGCCTCACTTCCCGGAGCTCTCGGGAACATGGCTGAGGTCAGTCAGCAGGCATCTTGCTTGGGAGCCGGAGACCAGATGCAATAACTGGCTATGCACGGCTCACCCTCACGGCTTGCTCATCCTCATGGCTCGCTCACCCTCATGGCTCACCCTCACAGCTCACCCTCATGGCTCACCTTCAGAAATGTCTTGTCTAGCCCTCGTGCATTTCCTCTGGAGGCAATAGAACTTTTCCCGTTCTGTAAAAGAGGAAACTGAGGCTCAGGGAGCAGAAGTCACAGTCCAAGGACACACAGCTAGTGAAAGGCAGAGCTGGAAGGACAAGCTTGCCCTCTAGTTTCTCCCGATGTGGCCCCATTCTGCAATGGGCTTCCAGCCTTCCAGCCTACTTGGTGTCTGGCTAGGTCCACCTCTCCTTCACACCCACCTCCAGAGGATCGCCACAGCCTGTAGATCCTGACTCTCTACAGACCCAGCATCTGCCCTCTTTCCCATTACGTATGAGTGACTCTCCATCTGGGACTCCTGGCCTGACTGTGTCGTTGGCTGCCTCTCTGGTCTCCCCACTGTCAGTTCCTTGTTTGTATCAGCAGCCAGAGGGCTCTTCTACAACACGATTCCGACCACATCACCACCCTTGACGTCTGCCAGTGATATCCCCTTGCCCTCTGAATAAAGTTCACATTCCTCACCAAGTCACCAGAGTCTGCGAGTTCTTATCATCAGAGCTAACGCCACTGTCCTGAGCCCAGCTGCGCACATTAGCCAGGTGGAAAGATTGCCTACCCTTTCAGAACAGACCCTGTTCTGGGCTTTCTTGCTTTAGGATCTTGGCTCCGACCACCGATTCCACCTTCCACGGTTTCTTCCCACTTTGATCTCTCTTACCCAACTCTGCCAACTGACATTTGGACCACAATTCAGGCGTAGCTCCATGCAGGGTCCTTTGCCATGATAAACCCGTCACCTCTGTAGACAGGTGAGCACCCGCATTCCTCCCTCTGTTCGCAGCACTGCGCCTGACGGTTTCGCCAACACGTGATCAGACCACCTTTCTCTGGGTCTCCATCTCCTCCCTCCCAGGTCTGGTTCAGCCCTTGTCCTGGCTTGCGTCTCTTCCAGCCAGTGGCAGTAGCTTTGGGCCTGGTTCTTGATTTAGTTCCAACTCTGATTCTAGCCCTGACCTGCCTCAAACTGTGGCTCTAGTCTTGGCCTGCTGCCAGCGTTGACTCAATATCCCAGTCTGTTAAGAGCTTAGCACAGCCAAGCGTCTCCCCACTCTCCTGATCCCCAATTTTACTTCCCTTAGGAGAAGGCCCTTGTCTCGGTATTCCTAGTCAGGGAGGATGGGAAATGAGAAGCCTAAAACAGCTTCCCGTAGCCTGCAGTCATTACCCGGCCTGGGACCACCTAGCCTCAGCCAGCATTCTAGCCCTCAGGATACTCTGAGTGCCGTGGGAACCAACAGTCCAAGTTCAATGTCAGAGACTACCATTGCCAGGCTGGGTGGTGCCTTTAACCACAGCACTAAACAGACAGAAGCAAGTGGATCTCTGTGAGTTCAAAGCCAGCCTTGCCAATAGTGAGTTCCAGGCCAACCAAGGCTACATAGTGAGACCCTGACTAAAGAACAAAAAAAGGAAGAAGAAGGAACTACCGTTTACTGGCTATGAGGTTTAATCTCCCTGGCTCCGTGTCTGGGTGGATACAGAGAAGCAAAGGCCTGATGCTGATGATGCACTCAGGCCCTGGTTCTATCCTCCATGCCTGAAGAGAATAAGATGAAAAGGAGATCCAATGTGGGAATGACAGGAAACCAAGCTGTGACTGTCCAGGTTCAGTGCCTGCAACGTGAGGACTATGAAGCCTTTTGCCCTGTCCTCTGGTCCCCTGGGTCAACTGCTATTGCACAAGGGCTTCTTCTGCCCCCGTGGCATTGGTGGGCCAGGCACAGGTTGGCTTCCAGGCTGCTGACTGGGACTGTAGTCTCCAGGGTATCTTGTAGAGTAGATACAGAGCCCAGGCATCATGCTGGATCTCCTGCCAGAACTCCATGTCCCTGACGTCAGGAACACACAATGGTTCATAGGGTAGTAGGGGAAAGGCCAGTCTTCCTTCTTTCCTATGGGCCATGTAGATATGTTTGGGTTGGAGTAATGGAGACATTGTCAACTCTTCTCCAACTTCCTCTCTGAGTCTCTGTCTCCTTCCAGCTCAAAGGGCAAAGATTCCTATGGACATGAGAACTTGGCACCAGGAGTGGTGGCACATGCCTTTAATCCCAGCACTCAGGAGGATCTCTGTGAGTTCGAGGCCAGCCTGGTCTACATGGTGAGTTCCAGAATAGTCAGGGCTACATGTTATACAAAAAGATCTTGTCTCAAAAACAACAACCAAAAGAAAAACGTCAGGCTATGGCGGCACAAGTTTTTTATCCCAGCACTGAAGAGAAAGAGACAGGCAGATCTCTGTGAGTTTGAGGCCAGCCTGGTCTACAGAGTGAGCTCCAGGACAGCCAGGAGTACACGAAGAAAGTCCGTCTTGGAAAGAAAAAAAAAAAAAAGGAGCTTGGGAACTTTGCTTCGAAAACATAGGGATCAGTGTTGGTAGAGGCCTGGAGATGTGTGGGTGAATGAGTAGCTAGCTATAGGTACATGTGTGGTATACATACATATAACATGAAATATATAGAGAGAGCATGGACATGTTAGAATATTGCATGTTTAGTGTGTCTATGTCTGCAATGCATGTGCTGGGATATGGAGTCTATAGGGTCTATATGTGATATGTTAGGGGGAGGGCTCTGCCTTTATGTCACAGGTGTGTGGCAGATGACTTGTGTGTGTGGCAGATGAGACTTATGTGTGAGAACAAGTATGTCTATGAAGACATGGAATCAGATAAGGGCCTGGGTGTCCATGTGTATTAAGTCTGTATGCTATGCATGCCTGTTTGTGGAAGGGGTCAGGGAACAGTGAGTTGTGGCGCTCTGTCAGGCAGTAAGCAGGTGTTGAAATATTCGGGATGTCCAGCTGAACTCTCTGAGTGACCTGAGCCAAAGTCATTGTCCACTTGTTATAGGAAGAAAGAAGGTTGGAAGAGACAGAGCTGTGGGGACTGAGTTCACTCCTAAGAGCCAGAGTTGCTGTGCCCAGCTGGCTGCCCTGCCCTCATGTCTGTGGCCACATCAGGGAAATAAACACAACCTTTGGATGGCCTGTGATATGTCTGGGGAGGAGGCCCCAACTGGCAGTTTGTGTAGCCTCAGCACCCCACAAATTGCCCTGCTGTTGACCAGCAGCTGAGGTGCTAGGGCCAATGGCCATCCTGCCAGTGACCACTCCTGGGTTCTTCGTTCAGCGCGTGTGGCCAGCTTCTGGCTTTCCAGAGCTTCCTTGCCTAGGGCACTTGGTCTAATTACAAATCGTTATCTCTTGAAACTCAAGCCTGTGCCAGGGAAATCTAGGGACACTCTTAGGTCCAAAATGTACATGGGCTGCTTTCTGCAGGAATACAATTCTGCTCCAGCAGGCAGGGGCTACTTCTCCCTTCTCAAGATGACTAAAATGTGTGATCTTGGGGCCTGGGGAGATAGCCCAGTGGTAAGCATGCATGCTCAAATGTGAGGGCCTCCCCCACAGATCCCAGCAATCCTTACAAAGCGCTGTCTCTCTAACCCCAGCACTGCTGGGGTCAGGGACAGGGACCATTGGGACTTTCCAGGTGCCAGCCTAGTTCCAGGATTAGAGAAAGATTTTATCTAGAGGGGATAGGGCAGAGAGGGAAAGAGTGGGATGCGGGGCACATCCCCCCAACCTCCCAAGCACCAGCACTTTCAGAAGGGCTCCCTGTGAATGGGGCTGTGACTCGCGTGCACAGAGATCTGGGTTCAACCCACAGCAAAGCACAAGCAGCGTGGCTGCACACACCTGGGCGGTATATACCTGGGTGGTACACACCTGGGCGGTACACACCTGGGCAGTACACACCTGGACTCTTAGCACTCTGGAGTGAGAAGCAGGTAGAGCGGCAGTTCAAGGTCATCCTCAGCTGCCGACCTGACTCAAGGCCTGGGTTACTCGCTGTTGTCTCAAAGAAAACAAAATCCTTGAATGCCCTGTGTAGTCTAAACACCCTTTTCTGCCTGGTTAATTCGGACTCTTATCTCAATTTCAGTGTCAGCTCGGCCGGAGCCTTTCTGAAACTACAACTACTTGCTGTTCCTTAAGAGCCATTACTGGACTTGCCACTGAAGTTTATTTTGTAGCTGCCCCAATGGCTGGCATGGAGTAAAAACATCTTTATTTTCCAGAATTCCTTGAAGTTAGGTGTGGCTGTGTGACTGAGTCCTGGCCAACAGCTTAGGCAGAAGTCATTTGTGCCACTTTGGGGAACTGGTGACAAATGGGGAATATTTCAACACCTGCTTACTGCCTGACAGAGCACCACAACTCACTGTTCCCTGACCCCTTCCACAAACAGGCATGAGAGTTCCAGGACAGCCAGAACTATTATATAGAGACACCTTGTCTTGAAAAACAAAACAAACAAGCAAACAACAACAATAACAAAATCTTGAAGCCAGAGGGGTAGAGGGCTGGTGAGTGCTAAGGGCTTAGGCAGCAGGCCATGTGGGAAGGAAGGAGCTGAGAACTAGACAGTCTTTTTAAAAGCACAATGAAGTCTCACCAAAGCTAGGATTCAAGATAAACTCACCAAATAGTTGTTTTTTTTATATTTGTTTTTGTTTGTTGGTTTGTTTTGTTTTCTTTTGTAGAACTCCAAGAATCCCAGAGTCATTTCCTAGATGCTTGGGCTCCCACAATCCCCTCCCTGCTTTCTCTCTCTTTTGAAGCTCTCAGTGGAGTTGAGTCTGATCAATGCCAATACTCCCTGGGGCTCACTGTTGCTGAGAAACCTCCAGAAGACCTGACCAGAGAGTGGGTGTGTATCTCTGGTCTGCACAGAGGCTACTGTCCAAAGTCAAGGGCATTGGTGTTGACAGAAAGGCACAGGATTCTAGAGTCAGGGGGCCTGGGTTTGCATCTTGACTCCGTAGTTCAGTAGCTCTGGGACCAACAAGATGCTCAACTTTTCCAAGTCTCAGTTTCCCTGTCTGTAGAGATAAGATAATAAAGAGTCTACCTCCTGGGATTGCTATGAATTAAAATGAGAAAACGCACATGAATCCCTTAGCTCGGTGCTGGGCCTCAGATGAGTAGTCAACAAAGGTTGCTGATTGTGACTTTTAGTATTATGGTTCTTGCATTCATTAACTCTTTTAGCAAGTGAGCACTAGGCATCCTCCCCTGGAGTGGGCTCAGTGCATCAGCCCCAATATATTCCGAAGACTTCCTCACGGTACACGTAGTTTGCTCTGCGCTGACAGCCCTTACCTCCTCAGCTACCTGGAGAACTTGCTTTTGGAACTTTTTTTTTTCAAGACAGGGTTTCTCTGTGGCTTTGGAGCCTGTCCCGGAACTAGCTCTGTAGACCAGGCTGGTCTCGAACTCACAGAGATCCGCCTGCCTCTGCCTCCCGAGTGCTGGGATTAAAGGCGTGCGCCACCAGCGCCCGGCTGGAACTTCTTTGGGTCCCCACAAGCTGAAGGTCATCTCATTGCAAGCTCTTTGGAACGAACCAGTCATCTGGCCCTGGGCTGTGCAATACAGCAACTTTACTCCTATCTCTCCTGTTTCCCTACGTCATCATCTAAAAAAAAAATTCTATTTATTTATTTATTTTATCTTCTATGTCGTAATTTTTATTACTCTTTTTTTTGTTGTGGCTGCTGGTTTTGTTTTTCGAGACAGGATCTCTCTGTAGCTTTGGAACCTGTCCTGGAACTCGCTCTGTAGCCCAGGCTGACTTTGAACACACAGAGAGCCACCTGCCTCTGCCTCCGCAGTGCTGAGATTAAAGGTGAGCGCCACCACCACCTAGCTTTTTTATTTATTTATTTATTTTATTTTTTGCTTTTTTTTTATTACTCTTACTTTAATGATTTAAAACTACAAGTTTACCGTCCCTCAGACTCTGAACTGAGGGACTCTGGCCGACAGATGGCTCAACAAATGGTGTCTAGAGTGAAGGCATCCTCAACTAGT